CGCTGCACCATCCAATCCGTTCAGCCTCGGCGGCGGTGGTGGAGGCGCAGTGGCTGGAAAGCCTGCAGCACCATCGAATCCTTTCAGCTTTGGCAACACCAGCGGCAACAACAACACCAGCGGCAGCAGCGGCGCACCAGTGGGGTCCAGCGGCACTGCTGGCAGTATTGGTGGCTTCGTGAAGAGCGGCCCACCAGCCGTGATAGCGGAGGATGATGGCTTTGCGTCGAATGCTGGAAGTGATGATGAATGCGACAAGAAGACATCCACCGCATCCGCCATGTCGAAACCGTTCTCGTTTGGTGGTGCCTCGGCTTCCACAAGGCCTGCATCTGGAAGTGAAGGTGATGCCAAACCCGCTCCACCGTCGAATCCTTTCAGTTTTGGCAACGCCAACAACAACAACAGCAGCAGCGCTCCAGCGGATAAACCCGCTGCACCATCCAATCCGTTCAGCCTCGGCGGCGGTGGTGGAGGCGCAGTGGCTGGAAAGCCTGCAGCACCGTCGAATCCTTTCAGTTTTGGCAACGCTAACAACAACAACAGCAGCAGCGCTCCAGCGGATAAACCCGCTGCACCATCCAATCCGTTCAGTTTTGGCGGCGGTGGTGGAAGCGCAGTGGCTGGAAAGCCTGTAGCACCGTCGAATCCATTCACCTTTGGGAGCAGTGGTGGCGCTTTTGCGTCTAAGAGTGTTTTCGGTTCATCTGGTGGGGATAGAGCATCTACGAATCCATTTGGTAAATAGCTGTTGACGTTCTAAAGGGTACGTATTTTAAGGTGCTCTGTGGTGAATGTAGGGATTGTAGTTGCGCCAGATTATGGTGGCAAGATGTATTGGATTTCTGCAGAGTTGTTTTCCCCATTCTCCTCTTGCTTCCGTCAAAGTGGATTGGTGTGCGAATAGCGTGGAATAATGCGTTCTGCGGCCTCCCAAAGGGAGGAAATACAGAAGAAGCTTCACCTGCTTCGCCTGGAGAAAGAACGGGAGCAAAGGGCCTTTGATGAGCTTGCGTCAAAGAGCAAGGAAATGACGGCTTCTGAGATTGCTGAGGCTGCGCGTAAGAAGGCGGTGAGTGAGGAACCGACGTTCCTTATGGTTGACGACACAACCATCTCCGTGGGGGATTACGTCCTCACGCTGGATGATGTGCATGCACTGTGTGCTGCGGAGAACGGCATCTTTGTCCCGGACCCTGTGAAACAGGTGTATTTGGGGGAAAGAGGCAAAGTCATACGTGTCCTGCCGTCGTTTCAGGGGAAGTCGGCTGTGGAAATGCGCTTCGCTGACGGTGCTGTTAAGATATTTTTGACCGAATGCCTGGCAGTGGGGCACAACGTAAGAAAAACACAGCGGAAGACGTCTTCGACGACAGCGCTAACAACAACATCAGTAATGACAACGACGACAGCGAGCAAGCCAACTGACGTTGATCCCAATACTCTTCGCGTGCCGGGGTTTGTTGCACCGTCCAAGCCCGAGCCTCTTCCCCAACCGACGTGGAGCACGCTTGACTTGCCCAGATGTAAGGCCGGTCTGAAGGAAAACAAACAGTCACTGAAAACAGCCACATCGACAACAACAGCGCAAAAAACAACATCTACAACTACAACCGCAACGGAATCAACAACTAACAAGACTACGTCAATGAAATCGACCGTTGCTGAGGACAGCGACAGTGTGAGGACCGATAACGGCAGAGTGGGATTGAAGGAGGGTACACCACCTGATGCTAAAAATGGCCAGAGTGACCAAGAAGTGAAGCGGAAGAAGTCGCTGGATAAAGAGTCACGCGCAGGTGGGGTAAAGGGTATCGGGCTTGTGAAGGAGGTGCTGTTGGAGCGGCGAATGCAGATTCCTCTGGGGGAGCAGTTGGGAAGCCCAATAAATTATGACGAGGCACGTCAGGTGCCGTTGGTAAGCCATGGGGAGCATGACAATCTTCTTAAGACACCGCGTGTAGATTTAATGTCGTACGTGCCTTCAAGACGCGCAACGTCTCCTGTGGAGAGCAAGAAGAGCAGAGGTGCCATACCGACCAGTTGCCCCACAAACTATAAACCACGCTTCTCGATAGGCGATAAGTCTACGAGAATACCACGACTGAACAGCGCATCACTTTCAGTGGATGCCAAGCGTTGTAGGGTGGCGGGGCTACTCCCAAACCAAAGTGCCCTCGATTTTCAGCCCATTGTGTTCCAGAAGAGTGACGATACTTTAGATGCGGTGCTGTCTGTTGTGACACAGGTGCTAAAGCGGAGCACTATGGGCCACCAAGCAAGGCGGTTATTTACTGTTGAAGGAACGGAGATCACACAGGTGAACGCCATTCGAAACAATATGTGCCTCGTGGCAACTTCTGGTGAAGTGTACTCCACTGGTCCAACCGCAGGGGTGAAGCCTCGTCGTCTTCCCACTGCGGCAGCTGCACCAGGTGATGCTGTACAGAGCAAGACAGCCGATCAACGCCACACACCGACGCCGGTGTCTGCAAAAGGAACCACTACCACTACCACTACCACCAAGACCAATGCTACCACCAAAACGACCACCACAAGCACACCGCATTCCCGCGAGGTGGCGCCAGGGAAGGGCATACCAAAACCTATTTCCGTGCGGGTGTTCTCAAATGGGGAGTATGGTGACAAACATACCGATCGCTTTCCTTTCCGTACGATAACCCTCCGACCAACTCACAAAACAATGAAAGCGGTTTTCAATACAATTGAGCGCGAGTTGGAATGGCATCCTCTTGGAAAGAGGGTAGAAAGTATTTACGATGCAACAGGTAGTGAAATAACGTCCATTGAGAAGCTGCATAACGGTCAGGCCGTTGTGGTATCAACAGGCGACCGGTTCGTTATTCCTCACCCAAGTAGTGTGCTGCACGAAGACGTAGTGAAAATTTTGGAATCCTCCAATCCTGTGCCTTCGGTGACGCATACCCGCCCCGCAATGTAGTAAGGCTATGGTAGCTGACCTAGACTCACCTGAAGATGTGCCATTACGGCTGTTCTTTTCACACTCTTGTTGGTGACCGTGCGCCCAGGCTATACATGGAAGAAGCACCTATTCTTCCTTATTTGCATTCGATCATCATCATTTTGAGAGAGCTGTGGAGAAGAATTCAATATATCAACAGGAATGTCGACGATGCACTCTTCCCTCTGTGTTGCGGTTTCACTTTCTCTTTCGTATATACCTTTTTTTTTTCTTTCCTTTTTTGGAAAATTTTATCCCTTTTTGCGGTGTGTCCCTCTTTTTCCTTTGGGCTAAAGTTAGGGCTGTGTGATGGATTCATTGCATGGGCCGACGAGACCGATGGAGGTTCCTCCGCCACAGGAGCGTGACGATGCCGAATCGCGGCTGCTGCGCAAAACGATGGAAGCTGTTTCTGGTAGCGATGTGGAACCAATTACTAAGTTTGTTGAGTCGGTTGCCCACCATCTGGTGAAGCAGGTGATTGTGGAGCCGGAGGGACAGTGGGCGCGTGCGTACCCGTTCGGCTCCTGCGGCCTGGGTGCCTCTGTTGCTGACAGCGACCTTGATATGTATGGTGAGAGCTTTCCTTTCTCCCTCTTGCTCTCTGTCTCTTGAGTTACCGATCCCCCCTCCTTTGTAAAGTTACTACCTCCCTTACTCACTCCCTTTCTAGTTCGTTTACAAGAAAAAAAAACATCTCCCGCTTTGCTCGTTGGCTATCATCTTGGTAATTTTCTTTCTTTTCTCCTTCCTGTTTTGCTTGTCGCTCCGCGCCGGCCGTGCCTGCTCCCTTCCTTCTTGTGGCTGGGCTGTATTTCTGAATGCCACACCTGCAAGTGTACTGTTTTGTCCATTTGGCGTCACCCAGGAGTTCTTCTTCTTTGCTTTCCCGCAACTACTACGGAATTATGTGCGTAATGTAGCCGTAGTCGCTGCAAGGGTTCCCGTGGTGAAGTTCATTTGCCAGGGGACACCGGTGGACGTTGTGTTCGTGTCAGTGGCGCTGGCGGCCCCACCCACACCAGAGCAGCTCCTTGAAGATTCATTTCTCCTACAGGTTGCACGCGAAACGCGTCCGAGTGCCAATGGGCTGCGCACCGTACTGGAGGTGAAGCGACGCCTCCCTGTGTCGTACGATGTCTTCACTACGGTTCTAAAGGCCGTGAAGTACTGGGCTATGAGGCGGCAGGTCTACGGAAGTATTTACTCATACCCAAGTGGCGTTGTGCTTGCTGTGATGGTGGCCCGTGCCTGTCAGGTCATGCCTGCTTCTCATCCTAGTGTTGTTTTGCGCTTCTTTTTCATGTTTTACACGGTATGGCTGACCTGCCATGATCACATCTCCCCGATTTTCATCACCGCATCTCTAGAAGCGCGCCGTCGCATTCCCGGACTTCCTGAGTCGTGGTCCCCGCAAAAGGCGGCATGCCGTGAGGACCTCTTGCCTGTAATAAATCCCGCCTACCCGTACGTCAACGATGCGCGTAACGTCGGTCGCTGCGGCCTGGAGGTGTTTTACGCGGAGCTGACTCTAGCTCACCGCATCCTGTCCAACACAGACGCACCGATAGATGATATATGGGTTCCTTACAACATAAAAAGCGATTACTCCAGATTTCTGTTAGTGCAAGTTTCGTGTGAGAGCAAGGAGGAAGATGATGAAGGTGCAAAGACAGATCTCGCCGCGTGGAGCTCATACGTGGCTAGCAAGCTGCGGTTTTTTATTTATGGTGTAGAACGGATTGTGAACGCCCGTCCACACCCACACAAACTCGATGACAGCACTGTAGGATCTCTTGCAGAGTCTAGGCGCCGTTTTAAGAGCAGTTACTTTGCCATAGGTGTTAGAAAAAGGAATGATGACCGCAAGCTACAAATGTCTATGTTTACGGAATCATTTGAGAATTTTAGCAATGCAGTGCGGGAGGGCTGCACTGATGGGAAAGGGGGACGGGGATTTCAATATAACAAGGATACCATGCAAGGTCCATGGTTTTCGCTGGTTGATGCTGAAGATCTACCGTCCGCCATTGTTAGATGATGGTTTCTCCCTCGCTTCTCAGATTTCTTAGAATCTTTATTACTACAACACATACCGGTACATATGTTGTTTCACTCTCGTAAGGACTAGCAGTTGTGTTGGATGTATGAATTCAGTGATTCTCACTGAGTGTCAGTCAGCGTGGCTGTTGCGGCAGCCACAATAACGAATAATACTTTCTTCACAAGAGATGGGGTGAGCGTTGCACTCTGAGTCATCGTGAATATTATCTCTTTCGTTATTTTTTTTTTTTTAGTGGCTGCTTTATGTAATCTTTGCGCTTGTGTTGCTTTCCTTTTCTCACAGGTTCCCTTAAAAGAAGGATATGTCCGCGTTTGAGGACAACCCATTTGCTGAAGAGGACGATGATGAATTAACGCACCACATAGAGGCTGCCGCAAGAAAGAGAGCGCGTGAGGATAGTGTAGCGGATTACCCTGCATACGAGCGACTGTCTTATCAGCAAGACATGCCTGCCCAGTTAACGGCGCACACTGTTGTTGCTGCTTCGCCACAGGATGAGACACCGCACGATGACGATGGGGACACACTCGAACTGGGAGACGTCCCAACCGGCCATATGCTCGCGGAGTACGATGTTGGCCGTGAGGAGGATGAATTCAATGCATTAGTCGTGAGGACTGTGGGGCTGGAGTCTGAGTTAAAGCAACACAAGAAGACCAGCGAGGATGAACTTTCCCAGTTGTCAAAGGACAATGAAAGCCTGCGGGAGAAGGTGGAGGCACTAAAGATAGAAATTCTGCATGTTCATGAAGAGATTAATTCCACTCAAATTTCACCAATCGTGGAGGATCCAAACCAAGACCACGGAAATAATAATAGTAGTTCCGGTGCAATGGAGCTAGTGGAAACTGTGCAAAAGGAGACCAGAATTCTTCATCAGAAAGCGGCAGATCTTACACAGAGTATCACGTTACTGGAGGAGAGATGCACTCCTGTTGTGGATCTCTCGGAACGCGTCCGCTCTTGCATTTTTGGTGAGGCGGAGGAGCTGCCGGACCTTAGTGCGTTTGACCCACAGCCTGAAAGACGTCGCTTTGAAGTCATTGAAGTTGCGGCAGCAAGGTTGCGTGGTAATGGGGCGGCCGTACTTGTACAGGCGCTCGTCGCGGAGCTTGGACATCTGCTTTCGCAGTATGACACGACCTACGCAACCGCCACGTTAGAGAGGGACCGTGCGGCATGTATGGAAGTTGTCTTGCACGACTTGGCACACGACTCGCAGGAATGGTACACCCGTTCCGTCAACAGGGCTCTTCATGGCGTTAGCGGTACCTCACCACCGGTGTGTGCTGAGTCATATGAGGGTGGATTAAGCATTCCCAAGCTGGAGGCAGCGGTGTGCCACGCGGAGTCTACGATTAATAAGCTGCTTGCGCCAAATCTCGTGGCGTTATCGCATCAAAACACAGCTCCTATTGCTGCGGCGGCCTCCGTGGCGCTCAGCCGGGAGTTGGAATCCCACACGGAGGTCCTTGGGCGTGAGGTGATTGGCTTGCGCGAGCTGCTCCTCACTGACACGGCGACGCTGCTGCAGAAGTTGAGGAATTCAAAGGAGATGAATGATGGAAGTACCGAAGAGGCTGAGACATCCGCTGCAAGCGAGAATGTTAAATTGTTGATGAATCTGGGAAAGACGTTACTAGAACGGCTTGGTGCAGCGGATTCGTTGTGGCATTCGCTGTGTGTCTCTGCGAACGTCCGAATGGCCCCAGCAGTGGAGCTGCAAATCGCGTTTTACAAGCATTACATAGAAATGCAGAAGACGTTATTGATTGCGTTGCGCACACTCAACACTGCATTACAGCAGAGGGCTCACCTGGCAACGGTAATTCGCCAGGTGGCCCTCCACGATGGCGATGATGAAGCTGCTTCCTTGTTAGCTGCGAGGGTGCTGCAAGAATCTGAGAGGGGTATCGGCAGTATCCATGAAGAACTGGAGCAAACATGCGCCGCGGTGATGCAACGGTTTACAGAGGATGCTGCTGAGCTCCTTCGTGAGCAAACGTTGAACACAAAACAGAGCATAGGTCAGTTTCAGGAGGTCTGTGATTTTTTTGCAAGCACAGTTGAAAAGATGGATAGTCTTGTTTACGGTGAGTCATCGGATGCGATTCATCATTCACTCGCGGACACGTCACTGATGCACTCTACAAAAACTGTTGATGAACCTTTGGTGCTGAACTTGGTTCCTTGCAAAGATGCATGCACAGATATTGTGAATTTTGCGACGAGTGACCATGATCAGGAGCTTCAGGAGGAACTTGCCGCTGCACAGCGGCGGAATGAGGAACTGGGGAAGTGCATGAAATGGCTTTCGATGCAGAAGTCTCACAGCGCCGTGCCGCTCTTGCTTGCAACGCGTAAAGAGATTGGGCTCTTCAAGGAGAAACTGGTGACAGTGGCACAAGGAGAGGCCAAGTGGGAATCACTCAAGGAAGACGTTGACACGACACAGCGAGAAATTGCTGTGACTCAGACTGCAAATGCCGCGATGAGAGCAAAGTTGGGCGAGCTGCGCAAGCAGCTTGGCGCGAAGGCCGATGCAGGCAGTCCTTGATGCGGTTTTGTTGTTTGAGCGAGAGAGATGCATGCTGCCTGCTGTGCCGCGCGCCTGTTGTTATTCTTTCTGTCTTTCCTTCTTTCTCTCGGGTGCGCCGTGTTTCGCTCCCTCACTCTATCTCTCCTTCCATCCCTGCTGTCCGTGTGATTCAATCTGCTTGTAGAGAAATCTACTGTTGCTTCTCGGTGGGATGCTTTCGTTTGCTTCATTTGGTTTTTATATGGTGACCTGTTTTAACAGCAATGTGCCGGGCGGGCCACTCGAGGTGGCTCTTTACCGATTCAGAAAGCTGCTTTGTCGGCGAGGACACGCGTCTGTATCGATGCGTTTGTCCCATTGCGACGTGCTCTGTCACCCCAACAGGCCACGCGTGCCGTCTCACTTCGTCTTTCTTGGTGTTTTGCGGGTTTCTGCTTCTCGTCTGGCTCCTCGCAGTGGGAGCGTATGTTTACATGTCGGGACTTATCTGGGAACATCAGAAGACAGTCAAGCCGGAGAGGAGCTATCCAATTGGTGGCGGTTACTACTATGAGAAGTTGTTCGGTAGCGATAATGTGGAAATGAATGAGACACAAGGAGCTCGCCCACTGGAGAGGAGGGAGGAAGGAGCTTAGTATGGATAAGGCAGCTGTTACTATATGTGTTCAGTAAAGTTTTGAGCGACGAGGGAGTGGGGCTGAAGAAGAATGATGATGGTGATGATGAGGACAATAACCGTACGGATTTGAGATTAATTGCCTCATTTGCTTGGTATGGTTCATGTTTTTTTTTTGCTTTTGTTAGCAGCTGCTGCATATATTGCTTGGACGCCATTTTTTAGTTATCATGAGGCGACATCAATTTTTGAATATCTCTTTCTTTTTTCTCACATGATTCATTAAAAAAAAAATACCACATCAAAAGAAAAAGTAAACTCTGTTCATACGTAAACGCAACGGCGAATGTCGTTCTTTACCCCACGTGCTATTGCCGCGTCGTGCGCAGCCGCTGTGTCTGTGCCGGCGACTATCTTCTTAATTGTCCGTGCGGCGAGACGCCCGCGCCGGTACCAAGGGCCTTCCTACGCCGATTTGCCGGTTGATCAGTGGAACATGCAGCAGGTGGTGCAGTGGCTGCGTTCACTCGGTGTGTCGGAGACGGTGTTGGTCTCGTTCTTGCGGAACGAGGTGGACGGGTCAGTGTTGCTTCTATTGGAGGAGGGACACCTGATGGAGCTGGCACCCAAACTGCGCGACTTTATTCTTATTCGCGAGGGTCTGGGGAAGCTGCGCGACTGCGCAGTGCAACCACGGCCGGTGAGGGAGTGCGTGGTGACTGCGCCCGCCGCGAGGAACATCGAGGACACACTGCCCGTAGGGCAAAGGGTGAATCCACCGTACAACAACGTGCGGTTCCAGGCACTGCTGCAAGAAATGCAGGGCCTCGCGCCCGGGATGCAGGTGCAATTGGTTCCCACCGTAGTGAGCGTCGCGGCACCTCTCGCAAAGACGCAACGAGAAGACGCCACCACGACGGTGTTGGCTGGCCCCGATGTGATAGAGCAGCTCCAGACGCTGCACAAGACAGTGGACGGCTTTTTGCATCTGCTTGATTCGACGGAGATGCGGGTGATGTCAGACCCACGTGTTGCGCCGCTGCGGGCAAACATAGAGGGGCAAGTACGTCATGTCATGGCAGTGTCAAGCCGGCTTCCGCCACCGCATGGAGAGCCGCTGCGAAAGAAATGCGAGCTTATTCTCCAAAAGATCCGGCAAGGTGTAGAAACAACCACCGCCACCACCACCACCGCAGGGATGGCCCAGGTGGCTCGGCAACAGCAACAACAGCAACAAGGACACCAGCAGCGACAGCAGTTGCAAACGCCTATGGGGCCCATGGTGCAACGGCTGCGTGACATCTTTACCGCCCTCAGGTCGTCGGACTTGGTGGAGACGGAGCCTGGGGAGCGGCTCGTGCGTATCACTGGCATGCTGAATGAGGCGCGGATTATTCAGAGAGAAGCCGAGTCCTCAGATGACCCCCGTGCGGTGGCCATCATGAACCAGGTGGCCGGAAGTGTCATTTCTGTGCTGCAGCAAATGGAGTCGCTCACACGTGAGGAGCTGGAGGCGGTGGGAGGTGATGCTGCAGGTGAACCCGTCGAGGAGCGTGTGAGAGGGCAACACCAACTGCAGCAACCGCAACAAGAGCAACGACAACAACAAGTTGCCCAGTTGAATTTGTCGCAGATCGTTTCTGATCTACAGTCTGTTGCTCAAATGCTGCACTCCGATAGGTTGGCTTCTGCGCCCCCGGAGGTGCAACTGCAAATTGTGTCCCAACTTCGGCAGCGTCTCCGCCAGCTGCAGCAACAGGTCGCTCGCCTCCCGCTTAACGAAACTACAGCTACAGTGGCAGCAATCATTGAAAGAACCCAGGGGCTCATTGCGTCTCTGACAGGTGATGAGCCTGATGAGCCAGAGGAGCAGGAGGATTGTGATGGTGATGATGATGATGAAAAAGATGAGCAACCGGAACACCAAGCGGAAGAGGAGATGCAGGGGAGAGAAAGGGTGCCTACGGCCACCTCTACAGCAAACCCACTCGAGGCGGTATGTCAAGAAGACATACAGGATAAGGTTGTAAACGAGGCGAATGAGATTTTTAATTATATTAACTCAGACCGCTTCAAGGTGCTGCCAGCAGAAGAAAAAAGCAATGCAGCACAGCGGCTTCTATCGCAGCTTTGTATGATGGAAAACCGCTGCGCTCAATTCGGGTGTCTGGAGCAGTTGCAAGAGCTCCTTCAACCCATGAAGGAGATTCTGCAAATGGAAATCAAACCGGATTCCGAGACGCCCGCCCCCACCCCATTATTCCTCAGCATCTCGGCCCACTTGACGCGGATGTCAAATCTCATGAATTCTGACGGTTTTCAACGGGCCGACATAGACAGTAAGAGGGCAGAAGCCCGGTCGATCATTCCACAGCTTCAGAAAATCGCCTCGGCCCTGTCACAGCTTCCCCCACACGAACGGAGTGCGGTGGAGCGGCTCATTGCACCCATCAATGCCGCCCTGCAATCAATTTCTGCTAGATCTGAGGAAGCTCAGGGAGACGTTGCTGATCCGAGGCAGGTGGTTGCGCAGATGGAGACGGTCCTCTCGGTCCTGCAGTCGGAAGAGTTCATAAACGCCCCACAACAGCAAAGACAACAGCTCGCCACAGAACTTGTGGAGAAACTTGAGGGCTTGAAAGCAGATTGTGGTCGGATCGGCGGCGCGGCAGCCCCTCTGCTGCCCATTATTGAGCGAATCCGGGGACAACTACTGGCGTTAACTCAATGTGGCCGAAATGTAGAGGAAGAAAACGGACCCTCGGAGAGAGAAGGTGCTCCCGATTCAGGTAATAATGATAATGAAGGAAAAGCAAGTGGAGATGCTACGGATGAAGGGCCTGTCTCGATAGAGGTGCAGCAAAATCGAAACGCGATGATGGAAGAGCGACAGAAGCTCTTCAAGACAGTGGCCGATATCACGGCAGAGCTTCGTACTAACAACGATGTGAATGCGAGGCTGACCAGTGCGGAGGCGCAGCCCCTGGTCGGACTCTTGGAGATGATAGACTCTGTTGGATTTGTTACTCCACAAGAAAAGAACCTTCGCGACGAGTTTGAGGTCCAAATTAGGCGTGCAAAGGGGGAGGACAGTGCTGCGGTGGAAGNGTCCAGCCCAGGCATGGAGAACCTTATGCGCACCTTCACATTACTGAAGGAAAGAATTGGGTCACCGAGTCTGTCTTCGCCGACAGATTTACTCCCCATCATGGCAGCAGTTGACCAGGCACTTAGCGCTGCCGATCAGAACAATGTGCCGTGGCGCAACTCTCCGCCAGCAGTGAGTCTGATTAGTGAGGTGCTAACACGAATCCAGGAGGTCCAGCGTGAGTTGGGTGAACGACGTCCATCGGAGCTGGAGAGTATACTCAACGAGGCGGCGACGGAGATCCGCCAGAATCCCCCACAAAACGAAGAGCAACTTCAACCATACACAGAGATGCTGTCGCAGATGGATAGAAGGATGAACAATTTGTCTGTTGGTACACTGCAGGCGTTGAAAAACCTCCAAGAGGCAGTGCTTGTGGCGGCGGGTACACTGCATGCGCAGGGGCCGGAGGGGCGCTCCGGGGCTTTGCTGGGCGACGGCCACGTGGCACAACTGCTAGTGGAGGTGTCAGATAGGCTTCGGGAGGGCCCAATCCGGGAGGAAGTGCTTGATCAGTACGCATTGCTTCTTGATAACATCGAGGCAACGCGCACCGACCCCTCTGTGCGTGAGGCGGTCGATTGCGTACGGGAGCAAATCCACCTGCAGCGCATCATGAACGGCGAGGCTGACGATGAGGAAAGCGACACATCCGAAGCGGAATTGGATGAAGAGGAAAATGAAACTGAAGAAGCAAATAAGAATGAAGATAAGGAAGAAGGGAAAGCGGCAACCGAGGATCCGAAAGACGATGTTGAATTCACTGAACACAAAAACCGACCCGAGCCTTCTGAGGACACTGCCACCCAAGAGAAAGAAAAGGCGGAGACGATGTCTGGAGACTTGCAGCAGGAGGCTGAAGGGCGAAGTGCCACGCCGACCTCGGAAAGGACTGCGGTGGTGGGCTTCCTCAGTAAACTGCCAAAAAATTGCGTTCCCGGCGGTGCGAAGAACGAACTACTACTACTACCACGTATTGAGAAGAAGATCTTCTCGGCGGAGCAGCACTTCATTGCCAACACGACGCTCTTTGACATTCAGAATATCAGCAAAGTGATCCTGCACCTTGAAAAATGCCCAGAGGTGAAGAGTAATACGACGCTGTTAGAGCGGGTAAGCCGTGTGAAAAGGTCGTTTGCACAACAGCTGCAGGCATTTCATGCTAGCGATCAACAGTCCACTGCGATCCAGACAACACTGAGTCTCTACTGCAGGGACACAACTGTTGCAGGCGAGTGTGTCCGCGAGCTCGTTATTTGTACGGCAGCGGAGGCAGCTGAAGATGTTGGGGCCCGCAGCAGCAAGGACCTGAAGAAGTGCCTGGCAGAGGGGAAAGCGGCGCCAACAACAGTTGGTTCAGAGGTTGTAAAGGAGTGGTGTGGGCGCAGCATAGCTGTTCTCGTGTGCGAGTTCGGTGTGGTGGATGGGACGGCTTTGAGCGAACTCGTGCTGTTGCATGAGGTCCTCGGAAGCCGCTACGGCTTTGATGTCGTGACTGTTACGGCGACCAGCGCAAGCCAATTGCAAAGTCTCCTGCAGGAGGTCGCCGCCTCCGGGGCGAGGCGAGTGCTCCTATACTACTATACAGATGCACATGCGTCGCCCAAGCCACACTCCGTCCTCTTTCGTGACGGTTCCTCTCTCACGTACCGCGACGCGCTACAGCAGCTGCAGACTGTGCACCGCGTCGTGTTGGCGCACTGTCAACCACTGAGTTTCTCGATGGTGTCAGAGTTTGCGGGGCATTGCAGCCCATTCTTCTTAGTACGGTTCAC